CGACAGTGAACCCAGTTAAGCTGAGGCTGTACCCGAAATCACAATGTTGAGGTTCTATTCGCTGCCTACCAGTTGCCTTCTTTCCGAGTTTTACGAATATCTCAACATCGTTGTGATTCTATTTCACATAATACGCTGCCTGGAAATATTGTAATATGTAGTAAATAAAAAGATAACATAATTCAGATGCTTTTCTCACATATTAGATATGCCAATATTCTTTTGGATAATTGTATGATACTATAGATTACAGTGTTTGTTGAAAAACGTCTTCAAAACTAACAGTAGCTAACCCATGAAATATTTTTAACCCTATTGCAAATTCGGGACAGATATCACAGTGGTAGTGATGTCGGTCATCACGAGCATTGTGCTAGCTCTATTCCGCTCCGGGCCAATCAAACCTCTCATCCTTCCGTGTCGGAAAATTGGCACCGGACTTGTCTGGGAAAAAATCACTCTCTGCAATCCAATTCGGAACGCTCCAGCCTGGCTATCTCAGGACTCCTGGGAGAATTGCTCGCCCAGCTTTCTAGGGCATTCAAGATGAAATGGAAATCCTCAGGCAGCAACTGAAGCCACACAAGTTGAAGATCTTCGTGGACAATGGATGCGAGGAAACAGATTGAATGTGAGAAGTGCTGGGATCCGCACGGTAGGCGTGAAGAAGGGTGAAATAAAATAAAAAAATACTTCATGTTTATTATTTAATATTACTTAGGCTTATACTCAATATCTTATTTTGATGTTATTCCAGTAGGTTACGCGACTAATAGAGTTCATATACGTACATAATTCTGGAGATTTCTTTGTTCAATTAAAAAACACTTTCTAACAAACCGTTGTTAGTAAACTAAAGTAATCAGCTATTGTTCACGTATATTATAAGTGTTAATACTGCTTCACGTCGGTATGTATCCAATAGATCCATTTAGTTACTCATTTGTTAGGATCCTGGAGTTCTCAATAACTTTCACAACTTAATCATTTCCTGTCATAGAATCCAATAGAAAGAAACTTCCCATAAGATTTAAGTCATCAGCAAGTCAGTTTAATGCATTTGGTATGTACTTCTTACCTTATGTTTTATCTTTTTTGGATGCAGTGGCAAGTTTATGAGATTCTTGGCCTGTACTAATGGGTTTAATAACTGTTCATAAGTACAATTTATATCATATCATTGGAAGAACCATTCTTAGTCAAGTCAGCGGCTACTGTGATAGGCATAAGACTTGATTTTTACAGATAATATTTGAAGCCATTCTACTAGCCGTGACTTCATCAGACTCCAACGAAGTTGTTTGAATCTTTAGCTTTTTCTAAACTCATAGAAAGGAAACGCCTTTTGCATGTAACTGTTTTCTGTATGTGTTAAATCACAGGTGGGAATATGTGTCTTCGTTCCAGAACTTATCACTAGCATGGTGAAAACATTGTAAGAATATTGTCTGATGTACGACAAATTAAAGAAAGGACAAAGCTTCCGGTGTTGATCAATCTCTGAGGGATACGCCATGCATTTGACTTCATTAAGCATCGTTTGGAGGTAACTGAATGCATATCTGGCATTTATAATAACTCGCGGTGGCCCACTAATGTATCGAGCAGTGCTGCTATCCACCCAGATAAGTCTGGTACCAATTTTCCCACCCTCTAGAGAAAGATGAGTTGGTGAGCCATGGGCGCAGAGATCGATTCTATGTGTGTGTCGCAGTGCGCCTCCGACCATCGTGTCACACGCGTCCTTGTATGATAAATCATGGCATTATAATGGTTTTCTGTACTGGTTTATTATAAATGTACAAGAAGCCCGAAGGTTTACTTTTTAGTTCGAAAAGGCTTGAACTTGAACAGAGGACAAGATATGATTAACTCCTTCTTAGGGACAGAAAACTGATAATGAGGTGTCCTCGATAAATTTGTTGTTTAAAATTATTCAAATTAGCAAAAGACGAATAGAATTCGATTTCATGCAAAAAGTGGAACCATTCACTCTTCGTTTCGGAGTGTTTTAAACATCCAGAAANTTTCTGTACTGGTTTATTATAAATGTGCAAGAAGCCCGAAGGTTTGCTTTTTAGTTCGAAAAGGCTTGAACTTGAACAGAGGACAAGATATGATTAACTCCTTCTTAGAGGCAGAAAACTGATAATGAGGTGTCCTCGATAAATTTGTTGTTTAAAATTATTCAAATTAGCAAAACACGAATAGAATTCGATTTCATGCAAAAAGTGGAACCATTCACTCTTCGTTTCGGAGTGTTTTAAACATCCAGAAATGTGCATTAATGTGTGTAGAGTGAATATTGAGGACGTCAAAGGCAGCGGTTAAATTTGCTATGCAATATAAAGAGGGTGATTGGCTTGACCCCAAACCCCGGGGCCATAATCTCTCTTGATAACGTACTAACAAACCTGTCCAACGAGGATGAAGATTCCGACATGATGTATCGATACGGTGCCAAAAATTATTCCGCGGCCGGATATACATTCAATCATCACTGCGCTTTTAAAAATGAACTCAAGTACATGGAGCATTCTGAAGGGGTTGATCAACGCAGAACATTTTTGTCCTCTTGTTTGCGCAAAGAATAAAAAGTTGCATCGCGTTCGGCACTTTTTCATTTTTTTCTGTTTTTTTCTCGTTTTTTCTTTGGTCCGAAAACCATTGTATCGACAGAGCGCGTCCTCGGTGATGCGGACATTCCGTGGAAGCGGATGATTCCGCGGCCTAGGAATGCCTAAGCTCAGCATGGAACAAGTTCTTATGCGTTTTCCACTGCGTCGCGTTGCTAAAAACCCGTATCGAAACGTTTCTGAACATTTGCTTATAGTGAGCACAACGTTTTAGAGCTAAAAAGGGATCAAAGAGTTTTTTTGATAGAGAAATACAAGTTAGAATGTTTTCTTTGTAATCAATGCCTACTCAGATCATTTAAAAGAAGCTAAAGGAGAAAAACGAGTCTCTGGTTGTTACCAATTTCTTCTCGTGCTTTCTCATTTATAGAAATCCGTTTCGGTCCTAAATATTCAATGATAACATCCGCAACATAACACCTTGTTAAAACTCATATTATCTTCGTCACTAGTTTACTCTTTTAGGACGTCTTTTACCGCTTTAAAGTCTAGTACGCAGTGGTCGAAGGCGCCCTGCTACGCACACGTAGAATCAAGTCCCGCGCCCTTGGCCCACCAAGCCTTCCATCTCTCCGGGGTCGGCAAATTAATATCAGACTTGTCTGGGAGAAGAGCACCACTGGCTCGATAAATCGATGGGCTACTGCGAGTTATTGCAAAGGCCAGATATGCATTCAATCACCTCCAGCGGTACTTAATGAAGTCGAATGCATGGCACATCCCTCAGGAGTTGATCAATGCCGAGAGCTCTATCCTTTATTTTTTATTTATACTAGTTTACTATTACATAACTCCCTTCCTCCCCTACTCCTCAGTCTACCACTTTTTTTTTTAGTTAACTGACATGGTGTGGTTAGATTGAACATTTTCGGAGATTCAGCGACAATTTAGACGTTTTTCAGAGAATCATAATGCCTGCATAGCAGCTGCCATACAAAACACATCTAATATTCCGCCCGTTTTAATCTATTTTTTAAATAAAACTTTTTTGAAAGTGTTTCACTGCATTGAAATTGTCTATAATTTTGTCCTATGTAGTGGATATTGATTGATCCTCCATATCGACTTTTTCCTAGATCAATCGATTACTCTTTCAGTATTCAACCACGTGCAATTGCCTCATCTGAAAGTGAAGCTCCTCAACAAAGTGCCAACAAATTCCATGTTTGTAAGTGAACAATTGACAGCAACAAAAGTTTTGTTAAAACCGATTCAATATGTCATTGTTCCCCACGAATTCTTTTACAAATACTGTACCCTTACTTTATCAACTAATTCACGAGCTAAAACACTGAGGAGACTTGATTTAACCCATTCTAACCCGGCTGCCTTATTGCGTGGCTGGACCAATCAACTATGTGCAATTTTTCGTCGGCTACGGACTTTCTGGTTTTTTGACAATAAAAAATCTACGTAGTAATTCCCATGACCGACTTTCTGTTAACCTCGGCATTAATTGATAATTCAATGTTTTTCATCAATAAGCAGACACGAGGTTGTTAATATAGAATTTATTAGAACACAATTGCTGACGTTTCGGCGGTTTCGCCTTCTTCAGAGCCTGGAAAGGTCAAATTGAGATGCGATCTACTCAGCCAAACACTTTCATAACCCTAGCAGATAAAACTTGATAAATCGATTTGTATTCGCATAAGAAACAGCTTCATTCAAACACCTACCGTTTATTTGTTGTAAGTATTTAAGTTAGTTGGTGGATAGCCGCCGCACAGAGTAATACATGGTCGATAACTGGGTCCATGTCAGATCATTGGATCAGCCTGAGGTATGGCGCTAGGTCACGCGTGATGACAAGACACTCCTCCTCCTCCAACTAACTTAAATACTTACAACAAATAAACGGTAGGTGTTTGAATGAAGCTGTTTCTTATGCGAATACAAATCGATTTATCAAGTTTTATCTGCTAGGGTTATGAAAGTGTTTGGCTGAGTAGATCGCATCTCAATTTGACCTTTCCAGGCTCTGAAGAAGGCGAAACCGCCGAAACGTCAGCAATTGTGTTCTAATAAATTCTATATTAACAACCTCGTGTCTGCTTATTGATGAAAAACATTGAATAAAAAATCCTTGGACCGGAGGTGACTCAGATGGGGATCGAACACGCTATTACTCGTACCCGTTGACGGGTAATTGCTGATGGCACTGATAGATAGAAAACCCCGAAAGGGTAATCGCGTAATTGGTCCCCACCACAGACACCTGAAGTCTGGAACTTTGCAAATATCTCAGCATCATTGTGGTTGTATTTCACATAATACCCTGCCGTGAAAAACTGTAGTGAGCGGTAAATAAAAAGTTAAAATTGTAATAAAAGACCTTTTCCTAATACATAGAGGACTTGAGTCATGAATATGATCTATCTTCCCATGAGTATGAATGGTATGTGTGCTACTGTTCACTTGGTCCTTGCTTGACATCATTGCTGGCAGTTATGTTGAATCTATTTAAGCTTTGACACCTCTACTTTGGAATTTTCATATCCATGTATTCCGTACAATAGCCATAGAGATTAAAATGAGATAACAATAAGTTGTTAGTCAAATTATCGTCTAATAAGCCTAACTTTTTTTTCAAACTTCTAAGAGGTCAAAACTTCCTAATTCTTCCTAAATTGGGTTTTTTGTAATTTGTCAAGTGTAGAGAATGGTTCTTCTGTTCTCACTGCTCCCATTTTTATTTATTTTCGATTAGCTATCGAAAGAATATATATATATATATATATATATATACTGTGTGATAAGGATACTATGGAGCCCACTGATTCGTTGCGGGTCGCTATGGAAGGTATATCGTCAGTAGGAGGCGAAATGGGTTAGAAAGCTTGTCAATCAGAGCCTGTGATTTTCATCATTGCCACTTATAAAACGCAACTTAAAAACTTCTAAAAGGAAAATCCAGTAATCTGACACCAGTTATCAATTTTTGCCTATTGAATTTTCTGAGCTACTCAAACTTTATCTACTTCGTCTTCCAGTGATGTTTTTTATCCCTGTATTCTTATCACTAATACTACAGACGTTGGAACGATCGATGGTGTCCGACGAGAGATCTTCAACGAAGTAGATGGCGAAGGCAATATCCTACGTAAGCCTTACCTATTCACTTGATAAGGTTTTTTTAATATTTGAACTACCCACGATCCTTTTCTGAACTTTTAGTAATCGCGCAATACTTTTAATAAAGATTTGTGCTGCTCTTCGTTGGGTTCCTACCACGCTGAAATGCCTAAAATCTCATCCTAAATTGAAGTTTTTTGCTAATTCGAAATACTTTTCGATTTTTTCATTGACTTGTTCTTTGATAGAAAATATACGTGGCTACTGAAGCAGCAAGTTTGGAAAGTAAACATCTATAAGCTACAGTGGACACGTTTTCTTTTGTGATTTGTTTTAGTTCTAAAATCCTCACCTCTATGCGATCCTTAAGTGTCGTTTATTATTACTAGTTCTATTACAATAGGTGGTAAAAGCAAAAAGCTCTCAGAAACTGGTTTTCTCCAAAATGCTTGCTCGAGGGGTGCGTATGACGCAGTGGTCGGAGGCGCCCTGCAACACACACGCAGAATCGATTCCTGAGTCCATGGTCCACCAAACGCTCTATTCTTCTGGGGTCGGCAAATTGAAAGCAAATTTGTCTAGGAGGCTAGCAGCACTGCTCGATACATCGGTGGGCTCCCACGAGTCTTTGTAAAGGCCAGATATGTACTCAATAACCTCCAAACGATACTTAAAGAAGTCGAATGCATGGCGCATTCCTCAGGGATTGACCAACGCCGAGGGCTTTATCCTTTATCCTTTATGTTTGCTAAGATTGTTGCCTACTCTATTCAATTACTTATTAATGTTTTTAATGCTACTGTAAAACGTATCACTCTTATAAAATAAGAGTTTTCAGCTGACAACGAGCCGAATCCAGGCGATCCATTTAGTGCTTATGACGATAACACGATTGTCGAAACAAAAGACGGTAAGCGTTTTGTTTTTTTTTGAAAACTTTAAATTCGAGGCAACGAGTTTTTTTGAAGATTCTGTTTCAAAGTAACAAACCGAATGTAGACATTTTAATTTTGAACATACCTGTTATTTGATAAGTTCACAGAGTTCAATTGACCGATTGGTTTTTTCTTTGAATAAGTGCCTTTTGAAGATATTGAAACAGTATCATGCCTATAACATGAGGTCTTAAAAGAGTAAAAATCATTTCGTTATTTATGCTTATACTTGGACGGCCCGCCCTCACAAGCTGTGCGGGACCCAGCCCATTCTACACTTTTGGGAGTTTTACTGGTTTGGCCAGTGTGTTTCCCTGGAGCCCCGAGATCTGCCTGGCCAAAGTCTGCTCCAGGTCGTCACCACCACAGGCAGTAGCCGCCCTAGTGGAACACAGGAAGATTTGCCTCCATGCGACTAGTTTAATACATACCAGGATGGTGGTGGGTCCTTGTAATGGTTCACTCATAGCTGTGCTTCCTCATGGAAACGCCGGACTCCTCAGTCAAGAAGACCCTGTTGGGTGGATGGTCCGCTGTAAATCGCAGTCCCACACTCTGGAGCATCTGTCGGCCACAATGAGATGGTAAACCGTTGAGAGGGGTTATGTATAAAGAAGCTAAAAGGAAACTAATCACGACCATCATATTCCAAGCTTTTCTTTGCCGGCTAACTAGTTTTGTAAATTTTTGGTGACTACTTCTTGAAGTGGGTTAAAGGTTAAAGTGTTCTCTTGTTAACAACCTGTGATTGGTGATATCAAAAATCTTCTCGAATGTTTCTGAGATAGTGATTTAAAGCGCGTAAGTCATCCACTGTTTTTGTTCCTTGTTATCAATCCTGAAGCTCTTTCATATCACAACGTTATCATCCTATCCTAAACAAATGACTATTAATTTCAGAGAAAACACTCTTTGTGCCTAAACCGTACAGGCCAGGCACTAAAGAAAAAATTACAACCACGCCATCTACAACCCGGTATAACTAAACAACGTTCTGCTTTACCCTTTGCTTTTTCACTTTGATAGATTAAAGTGCTTAGGTGCTTATTTTCGTCCACTCTTCTTAATTTAGCGCAACGACACCTCCGACGACAATTCGAACGATTCCTTTCGTTCAGACAACGCCAGCGTTTAGACGGCCCATCATGTGAGTTCACTAACATAGAACTCCTTTTTTTATTTATTACTAACACTACTTCTTCCATTGTTAACACCTATTTGACGGCTCTTAATTTTACAGATGGATCAATTGGGACTGTGCCTAATTTTTTTTAGCGTGTTAGGTGTATATTGAGGAACTCTGGAAAACAAGACTTTCTAATTATTAAGATTAGCGAATAGCTTTTCATTAACTACGTCTGACAGGACTTCTGCGCTGAACAAAATATCCACTGAATACAAAAAGTTTACCAAATAAAGTATTTGCGGCAAAATAAGCAGTCGGGAGAAATATGTATTCAACACTGACGAAGTCGAATCAAGTCCTTACGCGTATTGCACGCCATCACTACCACTATCACCAAGAATAACCCTAGATAAATAGCATCTTACCGTTAAAGACTACTATGGATGAGCCGCATATCTACTTCTGAAGCAAAAAATTCTTCCAGAACTGTCGAAAAAGTAGACTTTGGTCGTCAGCCAAATCGTCAATTGCCAAGTCAAAGCGACAGTACCGTTCCGACGATGCCACCAATGTACGTGTTGTAGTAATCTGTCAATGGAATTCTATTTCATAAGACTTATACTTAATTTAGAGCAGTTTTTGCAAGATCATTCATCATGTTCGAAGACTTGGCAAAACTAGTTGCAACTGTTTCGTATTTTAGTATATTTTTAAAATTTTGAAACAAAATAAACTGTCTGCATAATGAAACTTCAATGATGCTGAGATATTTGCAAAGCTCCGGACCGCGGATGTCTGCGGTGGGGAACGAACACACTTCCCCCTTTTTCTACGGCTAACGTGTTCACCACCGCACCATGCAGGTCCATCCTTTGCGCTGTCTCTCAGCTAGTTCTGTCGATCAGTCCTATCAGCAATGACAGGTCGGCGGAATTGATCTGGGCAGCCTAAATCGGCAATGAACCTAGTTAAGCTGAGCCTGTAGTTATAATCACAATTTTAACTTATCATGGTATGCATGCATGATAAGTATCAACTTTTGGCAATCGATAACCTCTGTGTGATAAGTATCAACTTGTGATAATCGACTTCTTCAGACAATTGCCGCAAACCACTCCATCACAACAACCTGAACAACTTCATCCCATATTACCAAATCAGCCAGCACAACCTCCTCCGGCCTTTGTGTCAAGGACCAGGTGAAGAGTTATTTAGAGACTGATTAGTCCAACTAATTTAGGAATTACTTATTTTTAAAGTACAAAACTTTATGAAAAATGAAGGACTGGAAGCTTGGCCCGCTTTTGTTTCTTTGAGTTCTCTGCGATTCAGTCTGGGTTGTGACATGGGGCGATTTCTGTACCACTACTCTGTTCGGGATATACGGCTACGAAGGCAAAAATCTGCGAACGCTGTTTTGTCTTTACCTAATATATTGATTTCTCAAGAAAAATCCAATTATTTCTTAGCCTTGGCAGTTATGTATAAGCGTTAAACTCCTTAAGCGTCACGACTTAAAAAGAGTAAAACGTCTTGCTTGCTTTTAGATTGCAGGAATTAAATAAAAACCTGAGCTCTGCATTTTTACTAGATACCTATGTGGTTATATATCAAAACACATAAGCACTCTAATAGTGCTACCCAAAACTTTTGACGCGGTTGAATTGCTAACCGATCCACCTAAAGAATAAAGAGCGATAAGAGGACTACAGGGTTAGATAGGTGAGCGCGGATTTTTAGAGTCGTTAGTTGATTCGTGGCTTCTTTGAGAGGCTCAAATGCAGCGCATTCCAGCTCTCCTTCTGCTGCCTAATTCTTTCTTCATATCTGTTATTTATGATCACTGAATGCGTGAGGTACACATACGAGATGGTCGCTACAGTCAGAGAACCAACCACATTGATCTTATTGCGTTCGCACCATAGGTTTTTTTTCATGATTTACTTCTTATTCCGATTTATGTGAAGTCTAATCTTTTATTCCTCTTCGTTGAGCTCATTGATCATTATCCTTGTTTTTTTGGTAGCTCTCGGGAAAATGACGATGTTGTTAACAAAACAGTGATTTAACAAAGATTAGCCATTAATGTGTAAACCTTTCTCGTTCCATGCCAAATTCAACACTAGAGAGAGCGCTACATGACGTTTTTCGCCAGCAGGGATTTTGTGGTCCAGTGCTGAGATTGTAGATTGGATTTTTTCGTTCGTTCACTTAATGCGCACCAAATGTCCGAACCGCTTTTTTTCCCAACTAGTCGATGGTCGTAAGTTCAGATTCCATCGCTTATTTGCACCATGGAACGGGATACTCTTGCCACCCGTTTTACTTCTTTCAACTTGCACTCTTCCTCCTTTAATGGTTACGATTCGGACGTGTAAGTTAAAACCAAAAAAATCTTAAAGTCGAAGAGATAAAAGGAGCTGTTTTTTGCCTGGTTCACAATACAATTTCGATGCCCTTTAAAGCTACGCAAACCGCGTGCTTCCCCCTGCTCAGCTTTAAAACTGTGCTGTTCATCATACTGATGCAACTATGAATAACCATAACATCCGGAGATATTGATTCTATCAGAAACAAAGCCATTTTTCATAAACATCGTTTCAAGATTTAGACGGAGACGAATTGTCGTGCACGTGAAATTGGCAAGTATTCGTTCCTCTTGGATGATGCGCGATATTATGAGAATAGCCTTCATTAGCGGCGCCAAAATGGTGTTGTTGACAAAGGATTTCCACTTCCATCTGATCCCACTCCAGTTTTCACAAGGCGTTCTCGAGGGTTCCTGTAAATAATTTTGCCAAAATGGTATCGCATTGTTCAGCACATCCTTTTAATTCGACGTTTTTCCGATAGCGGCGTTATTATTTATGGTTGTGAATTTGTTACATAACTCGTAAAACATCTACGGACACGGGTCAAACCTTTCATCCCCGATTTTGTCTCAACTGAATCATAGGCATTTTTGGCTTAATAAAGGTGAAACAAATTGGACTCTTGTATTCTCGCCACAGTTGAATGTCTTATTTACTTGCGGTTGTATTCTAATGTACAGAATCTTTTTCGAAATCCAGTTCGAATTTTTCGAAAAGAAACTCAATTCCATTGAGGTTATCTCCAAACCAAAATTTATAACTAACATATAGTTGCCATATCGGACAACAGTTATCGATGTCGTGTTGGTCTCTGTTTGTTCTAAGAATCCTCAATTCTGTTACGTATCGTTTGAAGACACGAGTGTATCTATGAGGGTTGGCAGAATGTTATTAGCAAGTTCGAGCTTAATCCTGTCCAGAAGAGACGTTTGTATAGTAAACTATGTTGTACGAAGATGGCGATGATACTTAAACGAATTTATTTATATGAAAAAACTCTATGGTTTCTAGTTCACACGTAGATCTTTCAAACTTTGGTATTACAGACGCCCACCTTTCCGACCACCCACTCAGCCGTTGTTCCAGCCACAACGACCAACATTCAATCAGCAACCTTTCCAAACGCAATCACTCTTTCAACAACCACAAGAGCCACAACAGGCAACATTCAACCAGCCATCATTTCGAACGCAATCTTTATTCCCACAACCACAGCAACCAACATTCAACCAACAATCATTCCAAGCACAGTCATCATTACAACAACCACAGCAACCACAGCAGTCTTTCCGGCCTACATTCACTCCTCAACCACCACTTCGATCTACGACACTGTTTCAAACTCGACCGCGCACCACAACCACACCCGCACCTCAGTTACCATTCGCGAATCAGCAAAATCTTCGAACTGGAGGTGAGTTTTGAAAGTTTTGAAAAAAAAGGAGAAAGGCCAGTTCTGAATCATTTGTTGTACAAATGCAATTATAGTTAAGCACACACAGCACATATTTACGAGGATTTTACCGCAGTGCGAAACGCGTGAAAACTTCTATTGAGGCAAAGTTTGTATTTGGCCTTCAAAATAGCTCAAAAAGACAACATTAGAAATTCGAGAAGATGGCTCACTGAGGAAGATCTGGCTCGACACGAAGGCGAAGTCGCAACGTCGAGGCGAACAACAAGCATGGACCATCGACTCGGATCACCGACTCTGAGGAAGACGAAGGCGTCGAAAAGTTAGCCGAAAATAAATATATTTATCAACCTCGTGCAAGCTTATCAAGAAATAATACATATTGATTAGAAATTCAGTCTATTATAATTTCAATAGCGAATAATAGATTTTTCTAACTTAGAAAAGTGTGATAAGTGGGAGCAGGACTTGACAATAAACCATATATCTCAACTGGAAATCGTTAAGATTGCACAACATTGCTTGTCCACGAAAAATGTGTGCTGTTTCACTTGTCTTCTACATACATGATAAAAGCCAAAAGGTGTGCAGTGTTCAGTGGTGCTTCATCCCTTTGAACCGTACCTTCAAATGAGCATCGTATGTGTGATCCTGATGTGACTGGACGTATATTTGTCCATAGATTGCGAAGATCTATTAATCTCATTCCAAGTCAACGTTTTAAGGCTCTCAGAGAAATCTGTTACCAATTTGCTAATCCAAAATAAATGGGCTATTTGCTTTATCCTTTGGATGCAATAGGTTTGAAGACCTAGTGCGTATTGCAAGAAATTTCAAAGCAAGCCTTATGCGTCCTTTTAGCTGTAAATATTTAAAACTTATCAAACTTTATAGTACGTCTTTTTTTACGTCATTGTTTATTGGTATGGGAGACAGTTTTAACCATATATGATTACGCAGAATCTTTCACGTCTTTTGTGAGGATCTCAGAATTTCTCACATTCGATTCGTTTCCTCACATCCATTATCCACGAAGACCTTCCAACTTTACGTATGGCTTCGGCTGCTTGAGGATTTTCACTTCATCTTGGATGTCGTAGAATGCTGGACAAGGCGATGCTCCCTGGAGCCCCGGCTAGCCGGGCTGGAACGTCCCCATTTGGCTTGCAGTGATTTTTTCCTGGTTGCACCATACTCATAGTGATCGACATTACTACTGTGTCATCCGCCCATTTACCAGGATATTACTTACCAGCAATGCGTTGTATACCTAATATTTGTCATTAGTAATGTGAGCAGTCACCGTGGTGAAAAAGGATAAAGAGCACCTTTACAGTACAGAAACAAATATTGATTTTTGCCTTACTAATTAAGCTGTATATAAATCTGGTATGGTCGATATATCTATTTATGTGGTCTTATAAACTGATCATCTTAAGCTGACGCGAGGTTGGTACAGGTTTTCGTTGTCGTTGTCGTTGCTTTTGATGTTATTGATCGATGGCTGACGTTTCACCGACTTCGCCTTCCTCAGAGCCTGGACGAATTTAATATTAGGATATTTTTATTATTCGGTGGAAAAGAAAGGTTAAAGTATTAATGAAGATCAAACTTTCAAATAGACACCATATTGAACAGAGGCGTCAAAATATCATTTTTAAACAGGGCGCCAGGTCACGGGTGATAGTGAGGCATTCGTCCTTCCGGTTCATCTTTGGATTTTTCAAATCTATCCAAAACGCCTCAAGAGTTTTGCGCGTTGATGTTTTTGATTCCTGCGCTGGGATCCGCACATTCACTTCAAAATCATCGCCGTTGTGCTTTTGTGCCCTATGCGTACCTAGAGGGGTGTTTAAACGGATTTTACCTTTCCATCCAGATGTTCTTTTATGCGGACACAAAGTGGTCTACCCGTTTCCCCGATATATTCCTCACCGCATGCATTACATGAAATCAAGCATATTATACCTAAACCCATGCAATCCCCGTCTCTCCCGTTAGGACAGATCATACAGTTTTCTGAGCTGCACAAACGATCATAGAGACGGTTTCGAACTAACTGGCGGCGTAGGGTATTGGGTGAGATGTCAATAATCGTGGCATAATTTTCAAGACCACTTTTTCTTAAGCACTTTTTAATGGCGTGACTTACTTCATTTGATATGAGGGGTAGCTTAAAGGGGATCTTACTTTCGTCCGAAATATTATTTTGGGAAACTACCCAACGTTTTCCTCTAACCCGAGTGGCTTCTACTTCGTAGCCATTGGAAATGGCAATTTTTCGTGCCAGGTTTCGCGATTCCTTCCTTTCCTCTTCTCCTGTCCACACATTTTTAGCCGTACGATACATGTTTTTGATAAGTGCTTTTCTCATGTGTGAAGGATGAGAGGACAGGCAGTGAACTAGAATGTTTTTACTACTTGGTTTGCGATACCATTTTGTTATATAGCCACTTACTGAGAGCTTTATTTGGATGTTATCTGGTATGGTCGTTGATAAGCCTATGAGCTTTATTTCAATATCAGCAAAACATTAGCTACTTAAGAACGAGATATTTTCAGTTTGTCCGCTTTCTATCTTCTACATCTCCACACCGCTTAAGGGTCCAAGTCGCCTGACATTTAGTCATTTCGCTGTCGCTGTGACCGTCGACCAATGTGCACGAACTTGTCACGAATTTAATTGTGCGGTACGTTCACTAAGAATCTCAAGCTATTTTGCAACCTTCGACGCGGGACGTTTGTCCGTGCATACCAAGCTCAAACTTCTGCAATTAAATCTTCTTATAAACACTAAGCCAGAGTTGTAGAAAAAAAATAATATTGCAAGATATTTGTAAAACTCCGCACCGCAGGTGGGGAACGAACGCGCTATTATTCTTTACGGGGAGTAACGCTTTCACCACCACACCATGCGGGTCCTTCGTTTCGCCTAACTCTCAGATTGCAAATATCTCAGCATTATAGAAGCTATATTTCGCAACATACCCTGCCATTAAAAAGGATACGCAGCAAATACAAATGTTAATACTGCAAGAATTAGAGAAAAGGGTTTTGTGAACACGAAAGGTCTGCAATTTTTTAATGGGAAAGTAACTCTTATAGTTCATTGCTAGTGTATGGATTTCGTAGTTTTATCGTCTAATGTGTATAAGTTTCCATTAGAAAGAAGATTGAGTTATTTCTGAGTATAGGTTTTGGACTTTTTCTGTCAGTGTGCTCTGATAGAGCTGCAGTAAATTATTTTCACCAATGTGAGCCAATAGTAGTGTTTTCCTGGTGATCAAACACAAGGTTGCTAACAACAAGATTTATTCAATCGTCTACAAACTTTTCGCCTGATTCATCCTAAACAGGATTGACAAAACACTGGACGAAGGACAACGCGTGTTCTCGCTTCATATCTCAGATCAATTTTTCCACTGGACGAGGAACATTTCTCAACCATGTAGAGGTGTGCTAGTCTCCAGTAACAACTAGAGAATTTTTCTTTACACATCTTTTAGGATTTCCCTCATATGATGGATCCCGAACCGGTTAGCTGCGAGACTAAGTAGTACGTCCCAGGCGGCGGATAAGGTGTTAGTGGCGGACCAAAACCAACCATTTTTTCTCTGAGACGCATGTAGAATTAAGGGATGGACTTCTTGTTTCTGTCGCTTCAATTTGATGTATGCGTGCATCGGTGTGTTCGTGTTTATGCGGATTGTATTCCACGAGTCAATTTGGCCAAAAGCCTGCAATCAAGTGACAGGGAAGTGTATGGGAGGTGGATAAGAGTCGCCTACAAAATAAGCTTCATGTCTACTCTCCAGCCCCACGTTCGTAGCTCAGTAAGTTATAAGTGGGTAAAAAAACTAACCGTAGTAAAATAAACGTCTGTCTCCTATTTTTCTGACCATGAAAACCACCGATTCGACAGCATTGGCTAGGCCGAGTACCGAGAGGCTGCTAAAATGTCAGAGCCATCCTGAGCTGCCCAAATCGCAAAGGACTAAAGTGACTATCCGATCCTGTGTAAAATTTTGGGATAAAGTGAAATCGGTTAGGAGAAACCTTCGATTTATTATGAAGTGATCTATTTCGTTATGGTGCTCTCTACTGGGAGACTCCCACGTCCAGCGTTGATAATGATGCTTCCGGAACCGCGAGTTACCATAAATGGTATTGCTGGTCATGATAAACTCAGATAGCTGCTTATCCTGCTCGTTCCATTCTAATCCGTGGGTCTCAATGTGACGTTCTTCAAATGTTTATCTGTGTCTAATCTTAGCATTAAAATCTCCAATGATGATTTTGAGGAATATGTGATCTTCTCTTTAGAGCTTCGCCAAATCAATATAGAACGCTTCAACTTTTCTTCGTCATAGTTTGATATCGGCGCGTGAATGACGATAATTGCGTGAATGATTGTCATAGGTAGTATTGATCCACATCTCTTCAATCGTGAATGTCCGATTCGTGTTGCTAGTTATTCGAATTAATCGATGTTCATGTCCAAAGTTGTCTTGACGAGAACGCCGAAGCTACCGAGTCCTCTATAGTCGCATCTCGTCGTCGTAACTTATCCTTCTTGCTTGCATGATCAAGTCTTCCATCAAAGACTCAGATGCAAGTGTCCGTGCAATATAGGTGCAGATAGTCACTTTAGTCCTTTGCGTTTTGTACAGCTCAGAATGGCCCTGAGATTTTGGCAGCCTCTCGGTACTCGGCCTAGCCAATGCTGCCGAATCGGTGGTCTTCATGGTCAGGAAAATGGGAGACAGACGTTTATTTTACTACGGTTAGTTTCTTTACCCACTTATAACTTACTGAGCTACGAACACGGGGCTGGAGAGTAGACATGAAGCTTATTTTGTGGGCAACTCTTATCCACCTCCCATACACTTCCCTGTCACTTGATTGCAGGCTTTTGGCCGAATTGGCTAGTGGAATACAATCCGCAAAAACGCGAACACACCGATGAACGCATGCGTCAAATTGAAGCGACAGAAACAAGAAGTCCATCCCCTAATTCTACATGCGCCTCAGAGAAACAATGGTTGCTTTTGGTCCGCGACTAACTCCTTATCCGCCACTTGGGACGTGCTACCTAGTCGCGCAACTAACCGGTTCGGGATCCATCATACGAAGGAAATCCTGAAAGATGTGTAAAGAAAAATCATTTAGTTATTAGTGGAGACCAGCACATACCTACATGGTTGAGAAATATTCCTCGTTCAGTGAAAAAATTGATCTGAGATATGAGGCGAGAACATGCGTAATCACAAGGCACTTCTTGCTGTTCATTTTAGGTTTATGAAACTTATCCAACGCTTTAAAACCTTTACGCGCTCTCATGCTCTGTGCGTGCCTGGTAGGATGCTCTGTTCGAGTTTGAGTTTTTCAGCTAGATGCTCTTTTATACGGACGCGGCATGGTCTACACCTTCTCCTAACTTTTTCACCTCCACACCCTCTAGAAGAGATGAGGTGTGCCGTACTCGATTTCATGCAGTCACCGTATCTCCCGTTAGAACAAATTATACATTTGTGCATTGTGCATTGACGATCATACAAATTGTCAGCTAGTCGTCTTCCTAGAGTGTTCGTTAGTATTTAATTCACTCATATCAAGATCTCTAGACCAGTTATTTTTAAACACAGCTTTAGAACTGTGTCTACCTCGTTGGAGATAAGTGGGAGGTTAAACGGAACCTTATTTTTTCTAAAATTGTCGCTTAAGCGTGGTTTTTGCTTTAAACTTTTTGAAAATAATCAGTTGTAATAGGCAGCAAATAAAAAATTAATATTATGATTTCAACTACAGCCGCAGCTTGACTAGGTTCATTGCCGATTTGGGCGCCCCAGATCTATTCCTTTAATGGATGATTGCTGACGGCACTGATCGGTAGAACTCGCTAAGAAAAAGGGCAAAGGAAGGACCAGCATGGTGCGTGGTGAACACGTTAGCCGTAGAAAAGAGAAGTAGTGTTTTCGTTTTCCACCGCAGACACTTGCGGTTTGGAGTTTTGCAAATATCTCAACGTCATTACAGTTATATTTCACTTAGTACCCTGCCGTAAAAATTTGTAGTAGGCAGCAAATAAAAAGCTGACATTGTAATGCATTAAAGTCGTAAATTCCACTGCATGAATTGCAGAAAGTGGGCTAAGTGACTAGGAAAGGCAGGCAATTTTTCAATAGGATGGTGACTGCTATAATTATCTATCAGTGACTAGGTTCCATGACTTTTATCATTTGAAGTTGGTGGATTTACCGTTGGGAGGAAAATGGGGCTACTTTACAAAAGTCGTTTCCAGAGTTTTTACCTTCCACTATATCCAGATGGAGTTGCAGCGAATTACACCGCACAATGCCGAGCAAGGTTTTACAAAAAAAACAGACTCACTTCTTATTACGATAAATGCGAGCAAACCTAGAAAAGTAGAGCTTGAACCACGAAATGCCTTCGAAATAACTAACTATGTGCAAGTACAGTTGGCGTTCTTTTGTTTGAAAGCACAATCGTTATTTTACGGAGAAGGTTCTGTGTGACATTTCACTGGTCTGTAACAATCATGACCCAGAGTGAATCAAACTGGAACAGCCTAAGTGACTTCTTAATAAAATTGATGATAGTAGTATGTGGAAGGCGTATACAATAAGAGACATGTGATACTGTGAAGTGATAAAGTGCATTCTCATTGAGGTAGCAAATACACTACCTCGTTGAGAGTAAACTCTATAAGCTATCGACTTCTTTTTTTTAATTCTTCTTAAACTATTTATAATTTTCGGTGAACAGAAAAAGGCTTACAAACGTAAAATTGGGTACGAGAACATTTTTTGCTTTGAAAGTTGAGTCCTTTATTGGAGACTTAGAATAGTGATTAAATCAAAATGTTAGAATTTATCAAACAATAGAATAAATAAACCTGTGAACATGAACCAGTTAAATGTCACTTTTTTGTTGCCTTAAAAAGTCGAGCTGGGAAAAATCGAAGTGTGATCAAGACCACTAATGAAAAATAGAGAACTTTGCAACCGCATGTTATCACCTGTTAAAGCTTTTCTTGTTTGAAACTTAAAATATTTCAGATAGCTCATTACAATCCAGGCAATGGGCATTGTGAATTCAATCCATCAACAGCATTCGCAATCAGAAATGGACAATGCCCCGCTTGGCCAGCCTTTCACTACAGGTTTGTTAGATTTGTAAGAATACCAGTAGAAGAATAAATGAAAAGTGTTAAAAAAATGCGTTTTAAATTGTCCTGCGTCTCCTATTCTGGTTGAACAACAGTTGCGATAGGATACAAAGCACTCGCGCTCTTGGTTAGCTAGTAATTAAAGTCTGTGGAAGACATCGTATTTTTGTAACGTGCTAGTTATAAAAAAAATCTGGAATTGAATAGCAAATATCCTCTGTAAATTCCCCTACGTCAACTTGTTCTAGAAATAACGTCGTTGCTAATGAACCAGTGCGAGTCTTCTGCGTTACCTGTCAGCGACCACGTCGACGACCAAATCGACAAAGAATTGGTTTAAGGTATGTATCACGACAAGGAGAATAACGTTAAACAAAAACTCTACTCTAAATCTCGAAGCTGCGTTAAATTTTCCATAAAGTGCTTTGCTAACTCATACGGTCCATTAGTACACTCCTCGCTGCTTCATCCAAAAAAAATCATCAAGTACTCTCCTCATCATCAGCATCTTTTCTAATTTTTTAGTACGAAAGGCAAGACATCACCATGGGACGCATGAATTTGTATTTGCTCATCAGAAATGCCATCCTTCACAAACAACAATCTCTCTGGTGGGACTGACAAACTCATCCGGAAAATAGTTTCTTAGATTTATAACGTGTTCTGAATCACTTTTCTCCTACCATTCGCAATACTACGTCGGTCTATTGATTTAATACAAAGAAAAACTAGCCAATAAAATAAACATTTGGAGAGCAAATGACTCCGATATGACTAAATCACTGCGAATATGCTAGGGATTAAGAGGTCCGATGATCATTAATTACAGGAATCACAAAAATAAGTACATCTACGTATTTAGGAGACGGTCACAAGATATTCGACGAGGATTTGGTGGATCTCGTGTATCATTCCGTAGGCAATGGGTAGCCAGAAGACCGCCTACGAGGTACAACTGGTTAAAAGACGTGCTACTTCTTAAAAATCAAACACTGCAAAGCAAAAGGTTCCTAAAGGTGGAAAGAAAATTTCAGGAAATTCATAAACAAAAATTTAAGAAAATATGGAACGCGAAAAAATTCAGTGATATCGGGTGTATAGGGTAACTTAGTCTGAAACATATGGAGGCTATTATTTAGCAAAGTACATAAAGGCAGAAATACCGCTGTAAAATCCACCATTGACTTAGTACTAGAAAGCTCTTCTCTGGGTGTTTGTCTGCTGAAAGCACGAGTACTTGACTATTTGTCATCGTAAACACCTAACTTGAATGGCTGTCCCTCATAAGATCTTCATATGATATTATTAAATCGATACTTGCTATTATCATTGGTAAAAATTTTTGCATGTTTCTCTCCTACAACATTTTAGTGTTTCTAATCATCCAGTAATTCATGGAGTTCTCGTAAAGCAACCAAAAGCCGTTGCACTTGGTGTTTCACAAAATTCACTGAGCAATCCACTTCAACATAAGGTTCGCTCAAATTTCACCTACGAGTGGAAATATCATAGTTCAATCCTTCTGAATTCGGTCAACAGTTTTAAAGCCTTATTACTTATACTTTTGCTCTAGAGCCAAAATAAAGTTGCTGTTGAAGTACCGTCATTAGAATTCGAAAGTGGTGAATCGACGGAAATACAGGAAGAAAGGAGATCGAACAGCAGAAGTAAGGTCAGTATCAATTTACGTCAGAGCGTTATATGGAAGAAAACCGATGTTAAGTTCTTGAACTTTTATTTCTACAATTTTGCTTTGATCTCACTACAAGGTCATGAGTTCTCCCGCACAAGCTCAACTCAAGCAGCAGCACTTTATTGATACTTACTTACTCGATACTCGAAAAGCCCGTCCTCACTAGCTGTGCAGTCTCCAGCATAATCTCCATTTTTCTGAGATTTGCTGGTTAAGCCATTGTGGTTGTCTGCAATCCTGAGGTCAGCTTAGCCAAAGGCTGCCCCAGGTCTTCGCCACCACCGGTAGTAGTCGCAGCCACTGTGGAGCAGAAGGAGATTTGCCACCATTCGGCTTCGATACCAGGACGGTGGCGGATCCTGGTATTTACTCTTAACTAAACTTTCTGATGGAAATCCCGGAATCCTCATCATGGAAGACTATGCCAGGGGGATGAATCTCTCGCTGTACATCACAGGCTGACACCCAGAAGCACTTCCCAGCCACGATACTGTGGTAAATCGTTGGGAGGACTTTATTGATAATATAGGTTTTACGGATATTTATGACATCCATTGCAAAGTAATGTGGATTCATGCTATTATCCTTTCATCAACCTTGACGTTTTAACAGCACTTTGAGACTTACCGATCGATATTTTTGTAGTCCCGTGATTCTCGCGTGCACAAGCGAACCGATTCGACCGATGATCTCTCTTCATCGTCAGTAATTTCAAAGCAATAACGTTGTTGTGAACTTTAAATGACGTCTTGATTAGCTATCGATTACGATTAGAATCGCTTAGAAGTGCCACTATTTCTGTCGTTTTACCGTCTCATTGATTCCGTGTTGTATATGATTCTTTACGTTTTATCCGTTATATATGGCCATCCGACATGACACCGACGTGGAAAGCCAATTTTTTGAATGTCACTCAAAATCTAGGTATTTTGTTATTGAATGAAACGAATGAATGCTCAATACATCTATTAGATTGGTTGTAATAACACGAGACTCTTTGTACATGTTAAATATTAAATATTGATTTTTGAGACTTACCTCTTTGAAACACACACGGATGAAACCACTACTCAGCAGAATGGACCAATCCAAAGTGACCAGGAAACGAAGAATACGAATGTTATACTTCAATTTTCGGATTCGAAACAAACGTATAACGTGATCTCTAGGTCCTATACAGCACTAAAGATGTCGTCAATAATTGAACGTAAAATTGGCCAATTAAACTACAGCTGAATGTATTGTTATATCCACGATCTTGCGCGAGGTTGTTACCAACTAATTCTTATTATGACCAAGGCTCCGGTTCTTCTGCCTTCATTAGAGCCGCAATCATTTGGGTCGATTGTCCACAGCCGTTTGCACTTGAGTTACGGGTCATTGTAGACGTCGCATCGTCCCGAATCCAGTCAGAGAATTGAAGTATCGTTCAGAAGTCTTCTCTCTTGGCGGGATACACTTGTACACGGCAACTCTAGAATTACTGCCTATGTATAATAGTTTCTCGTTTCATGGAAAATTCCTACTTCTGTAGTCGGTGCTGTATTGAGTAGAAAAAAAATCGATAAATATTTCCTTTTGCGCTTGGAAGTGTATAACAACTCACTACAGATCTGCATCTCTCCACTTGTACTATGGTAGAATCGAGGCTAACCGAAAGAATTCGATCGTCCATAATTAACACAATCTTCAAAAATGTTGAAAGGCCGCTGTCTGACTACCATGATGGTGCCAAACCAATTCCAATGTTTCTTTTATAAGCAATTCCATCTGATAAGTAAAATGTAGTTTACGAGCTCTGATGATACTATGTGCGACAATATATTCATTCGAAATAGTGATTAGACAAAGCGTTTATCAGCACCTGACTAGTCCCTCTGTAAAAATTATCTACCCGCTTCACACCAGCACCCCAAAAATTAAGCGCAAAAATCAATGAGTTAGTATCAAGATCACAACTACGGCAATGTTGTTCACTAGTGGTAACAGCGGAGAACACAGATCAATAGAATCTGTGAAATAATCGCTGAGGACCAATAGAAGAACTCGTGCTCGCTGATTTTGACAATAAGGGTCTATACTCTATTATCCCTATAATTTCAAGGTACTGAGTACCACATGCTAAGTGGAATTTATTGTAAGCAGCACGCAGCAACACGACGGTTTACTCAATTCAGAATGCACATTTGGCTTGCGCAGTGAATTGCGGTGGCCTACCGATATATTAGCTCAGCACTTCTACCCTCTCAGATATGTTAGGTACCAACTTGCTAACCTCGAATGAATAAAAGGCCTGGTGAGCCTGGGGCATTGTGATCGATTTATGGGGTATTGCTTGGTACCTCTAACCAATGTGCTAGAAGTACCCAAGTGAAGTAAACAGGGAAGTGTTCTGAGAAAAGACTGATAAGAACGGGCATCTCTGGCAGTAAACATCTCCAATACAAAAAAATGCAAAAAATCGGAAGAAATTGAAAAAAAGAGCCAATAATCGACGATAACTTATTTTGGTGTCATTATGAGCTATCTGAAAAGTCGCAAGCTCTAGAACGATTGTTGGCTCCAGTTGCCTTCAAATACCAGTGTAATTAATAAACCTGGCGTGATTGTAGAAGTGTAACCAATACAACACTTTGTAGGTATCTAGAACAGCGAATATATGAACATGCAACTGCTTTCCGGCAGTCGCTTCTGGTTTGCATGACGGTTACAGTAATTCTAGAAGCAAAGAGCTTTCCGTTATCTTTTCGTTCTTTCTGTTAATTACAAAGACCATGTACAAGAAGCCTTATCAAGTAAAACGTCTTTATTGTTTTGACTGCAGCTTATGAAGGCGACGTGTAAGTGATATTTTAAGTCCCTAGAGGAATATAAAGCATTATGACATAAAAGTAGAATCACTTCAGCAAAGCAGAATGGAGTCACAAAACCAATAAATAGCTCCATCACAGTTCTCCTACCATACGACCTTACTTTTTTTTTCAGCTCCAGACACAGATTTGGAAGGTTTTTTTTCCGTAGTACTCAACATTCCTAGAGTTATCAGTGGACAAGCCCACTAAGGAGATACGGTGAACAATTGTATTTTCTCATTGACAAGCCAACACGAAGTTGATGAGCGAAAACTATATTCGGCCATCTTTTCGAAGTCTTCGACTTCTAAGCTAGACTGAGAGTCGATTGTCTGCGGTTTTTTCTTCTTCCGATGTAGGGTCTTCGTGATCGCATTGAGACCAATCCAGTGGAGCCCGAAACACTTCGAAACACTGTGGATACAACCACAACGTTGCTGAGATATTTGCAAAACTCTGGACCGCAGGTGTCTATGGTGGGGAACGAACGCGCTATTATCCTTTCCGGGGAGTAACGCGTTCACCACCACACCATGCGGGTCCTTTGTTTCGCACGTCTCTCAGCTATTTCTATCGATCTTTTTGCCACAGCAATCACCCGTCAGCTGATTCCCCTATAGGCAATTGATGGATGATTTGTACCATTTCTAAATACTCTTCAAAGAAACATAAAAACTCTTTTACTGTCTTTTACAATTTCACAATAGAACTACTCTAACAATCCATAATACAAAATATTGTAGGTCAAACCAAACTTATATATAAACCAAATATATATCTATTTTCACGGTATAATTCCAATCTCACAAACCTTAAGTTTAAGATAAACGATCATAAGATAATTTCTATCGATCTTTTTGCCACAGCAATCACCCGTCAGCTGAGAGACGTGCGAAACAAAGGACCCGCATGGTGTGGTGGTGAACGCGTTACTCCCCGGAAAGGATAATAGCGCGTTCGTTCCCCACCATAGACACCTGCGGTCCAGAGTTTTGCAAATATCTCAGCAACGTTGTGGTTGTATTTCGCTTAATAACCTGTCATGAAAATTATAGAAGGCAGAAAACAAAACGTTAAACACTGTGGATACATGCAATTCATATAATACCCTGTTGTGAAAAGTCATAGTAGGCAGTAAATAGAGAGGAAAACTGTAGGTACTCTTAGTTCAACCAAGAACTTAGATTCCGGTGATATTTAAAAGTACTAAGCAACAAGAGACTTCATATTATTTATGAAGAAGGGACAAAAAGCAACGTTTGTTTACGAACCATTTTGAATAAATGCTTTCACAAAAACTTATTGGCAAAGGTGTGAACTACCCTATTCCGTTGTACATCGTATTTCGAATGAACATTGTATTCTGGAGAAGTAGACCTGGAAAATGAATTATTTTAAGAGTTGTTATAAATTGTCTGGCAATAAAGCTAACTTTAGCAAATCTCGATATGATACTCTCCACATCAGAATTGGTGCCTAAACGACAATGATTAAAATTGTTTAGAAAACCAACTTTCCTTTAACCTCGGTATGACTAAATAACATGAATTTCTTCGCTGATAAGCTAACATATGGTTAGTAAACAATTGAACTCTGCTGACGTTTCGACGTCTTCGTCTTAGCTGATAATTATACATACTTCTGCATGATGAATTTCTCTGAGGAAAACAAGTTGTTATCACCAGACAATTGCTATCAATAACAACCGTTCTGTATAAAAGAGCACCGCCGTGTGAGTTACCTCATTAAGGCGATGCTCCATCCAAGAAGACCCGACTCGATATGACTACACTGCGAGTACACCATATTGATATTACGAACGAATGGACCATTAACTCGGATCGTCGGCGGTGAGAAAGACGAAAACGGCGGAATGCTAACCGAATAAAGTTGTTTATCAACCTCGGTACTAATTTACCAATTGAAGAATACATACTGATATTATGTTTTAATTGTTTGCAAGCAGAATTAATAAGAGACCTTTAGCTAATTTCTTCAAGATTTTTGACAACCTTCTCTTGGACCTATTCACATGAAAACGTGCTAAAGCGTTGACCATCACACCAAGCCACTCCTTCGTTTCGCCTGTCACTCAACTGGCTCTATCGATCAGTGCCATCAGAAATCACTCGTAAACGGAATTGATCTGGTGAGGTGGTCTAATCGGCAACGAACCCAGTTAAGCTGAGGCTGTAGTCGGAACCACAATGTTAGCTATTTATTTACTGCCTATTACCATTTTTCAAGCCACGGTATAATGTATGATACAACCAGAATGATACTGAAATACTTTCAAAAAATTGCACGGGTGACTGCTGACGACACTGATCGACAGAACTAGCTCAGAAACAGGCGAAATGAAGAGGCCGCATGGTGTGGTGGTGAACGTGTTAGCCCCCGGAAAGGGTGATAGCGCGTTCGTGTCCCACCGCAGATACCTGCTGTCCGGGGCTTTGCAAATATCTCAGCATCATTGTGGTTTTATCACACATAATACCCTGCCGTGAAAAGTGATATTAGGCAGTAAATAAAAAGTCAGCAAAAAACCATTTAATTCGATGTTTTTCTTCAATAAGCAAATACGAGGTTGGTATTATAGAATTTATTAGGATACAATAGCTCACCTTTCGGCCGCTTCGCCTTTTTCAGAGCCTGGAAAGGTCGAACTGACATGGGATCTACTCAGCCAAACACTTTAATAAACCCAGCAGACAAAACTCAACAAATAAATTTGCGTTCGCATAAGCAGCAGCTTCATTTAAACACCCACCGTTTATTCGTTGTAAGTACTCTAATTAGTTGGTGGTTAGCAGCTGCAATCTATTCGGCCAAACACCTCCACAAGGGAAAACGGTAAACCAAGATTTCAAT